TATTAAAAAAAATCTCTGGTAATTAGGTCATCAATACAGTGTTTATATTCAGTTGTAGCAGACTACTGGTGAAGTACTTAAAGTATGCATAGTATAAATCTTATTTTGGAACAGGGGTTATTCAAAGCTCATCTTTAAAATAAAATGTTTATTATAGAGAGTTAAGCGTTTAAGTTATTGCAAAAAGAAAATTGTTCTAAATGTTAAATCTACGAACTCTAAAGTTGCTTCTTAACCTAAGTTTTGAGAAGGCTGAATAGGAGTACATCAATATTTTTCATTACTTAAGTCTAGTAAAACATCATCCTTAAATCTTTTGTTAAAATTTAAAAAAAAATTTGGCAGTGTATTATAGCTTGTGCATAAATATTGTATTTAAATATTGCATTTGTAAATTTAACACACACACGAAAAATGTTTATTTGTTTTTCTACAAAACATTTTTTTTGTACTGTAAGTTCTTTTTTTACAATGCAATACCGAGGGCAATCCAAATCAGCTCTTGCTTACAATTGCTTTTAATTCGAGAATGTTGCTAACTACCTGGGATAGCTATAACAACTAATAAGCAATATTTTCAAACTTAAAAAGTTTTAGTAATATATATATATATATAATAAATATATAATATATATTTATATATATATAATAAATATATATATTATATATATATATATATATATATATATATATATATATATATATATATTTATATATATATATATAATCAATATATAGTAGTAATTTGGGTAAATTCCTGAAAAGCAAAAATATTTTTTTCAAAAATTTTTCTAACTAAATGATGATATTAATGGAACATGTGAAAAAAATCATACCAAGTTATTAACATTCTATTGATATTACTATGTATAAAAAAATTTTTGTATAAAACTGTTTTGAAAATTCTATCGTATAAGATAGAGCATTGGTTGTCATATGTTATAGAGTTATAAAAATCTTTAGGAAAGCAAAGTACTTTTTTTAAATCTTTATTTTTAAAATAGTATTTTGAAAATCAAGGATGTTTTGAGTTGTGAAGTTTTGTAAAAGTGTAAGTACTATAATGAACAAAATTTGAAAGAAAAATCAAAACTTTATTTGTCAGTATTATTTGATTTTTTAGGCGATTATTCACTTTTATTATTCAATAAAAATTCACGCTTTTTTACATTTGTTTTGATTTTAACTAACGCGCACAAGCCTCTCTTTCAAAATCAGCCAATCAGATTGCGCATATCTCTGCAAATTCGGACCCTGCATAGGGTTTCAAAATATGCACCCCGTCCCGACCCATAATTGCTCCATTCATAGAACTATGTCTCCTAAAATCATAAAATTTTTTTTAGTTTTATCATGAACTAGATTTTTCAACAGATTTCAAATCTTTTTAGAGAAGATTTCAAAAATCCTTTTTTGTTCAAGATTTATGACCATAAGAAGTTTAAAATTCCCCTCAATTACCCCCTGATATAATTTTGAATAGTGGTAACTTTTAAACGAGGAATTTTTTTTGATGAAATTTAAGATCTTTTAATGAATTTTGATCTAGTTTAATATAACATAGAAAAAAACTTGAAAATTCCTTTTAGGAACCATACCCTGGGGGAGAGCTTTTAGGGGTCCAAATTGGACAACTACAACTAATTTATTGCCGTTAAAAAGTTTTCTGGTCTATGTGGTTAGATTATTTATATTTTGCATTTCATATATCATCATATCATATATCAAAAAATTATGTTGAACAATTGTTCGTAGAAGGTTAATACTTTACTTTTTACAAGCTACCTGCAAACGGAAAGCATAAGGAACATTTTTCGCAATAAAATCTTGCAAATAAAATAAAAAATTGATCTGCACATAAGGAACATTTTTCGCAATAAAATCTAAAAATTTTGCAAAAAATTAAAAAAATGCGACATGTTGTTTTTGCAGATTACGATTAAATTATAGTAATAACTTAAGGGGCAGATCCAGTATTTTTTGGTCTTTGAGATAGCTAACTTCTTGGCGTGGATCAAACTCCAAACATTTATATGTTTATACTTATGTCAAATAAGAAGGGTTTACAAAAAGTTGCTATGATTGGAGCCTGGGAACAAAAAGCCCCAAAATTTGATACGTCCTTGCCCCAAACTAAAAATATATGAAGAAGTAAATTCAGCTGGTATTTATTCAACTATTATGGATACAATTATGGATTTATCCATCCATGATCAATGTGTATTTGTTTGGCGGCATATTAGTGACAGAACTATAGCACCAGGTCTATAGCTAAAGTTGTGGAACAAGTTGTAGCTTTAAACAACGTAAATGGCCAATATAAAGAGTTCAAGCCAAACTCAAGAAAGTACTCCCAAAAGATATTCATTTATAGTGCCACGCTATGTGTTACAACAAACTACTTCTTGTTCGGTTTCAGTTATTTTCTTTTTTTAGACTTGAAAAATTATTTTTTTTTAAAGAATCTTATAAAAGACTCAATGTTTATAAAAATCAGAATAACCCCAGTCGTACGTCACATTTAATAAATATTGGTAAAGTTCGATAGCGGTTTAAAAATGATGCGGTTATTAAGATATTTGTTTGTATAGATATGTAGAGTGAAAGAACCAAGAATGATGACAGAAAGCAATTTGTATGTATGAAAATTCTATATAGGCTTAATGAAAACATTTTTGTTTTAAAATTGTACTATTTATGATATTACTTTTCTTTATGTTTATTTTCTTTAAAAAGTTAAATTTATTTAGTAAAATCGGAATTGTACTTTTGAACGACATTATCTAGCACTAACCTTTAATGTCGTTCAAAAGAACATTTTTGTTTTAAAATTGTGCTATTTATGATATTACTTTAATTAAATTATTATTAAATTTATTACTACTTATTACTATTACTATATTACTATTACTTATTATTAAATTTATTTTATTTAGTATATTTTTCAAGTATTAACTCTTGATTGTAAAATGAACGAAGATAATTGGGTTAGTGCTAGAAAATGCCGTTTAAAAGTTTTGAACAACATTATCTAGCACTAACCGTTTCAGTGAAATCAAGCGTTTGTTTGCCCCCATACCATAATGGTAGATATTTTTGTGTTTAAATTATGCAATGATCACGTGGTTTTTTCGCCACAAGGATTGTTTACTTCTGCTTTATTTTTAAAAAATATATATTTATTTAAAGAGAGAATTTATCATAATTATTATTTGAGCTTACTTATTTTTATAGTTTTTTAGAAGAAACTTATTTTCATGCCTGCATTTAGAAATCAATTCCGATTTTTTGTTTAATAAACATTCTTGGTTTGCATGTGTGATTATTTCAAACTTTTCTTGTAGGCATAATATGCATTTTTTGGAAATACTATTATATGCAGGTGCTGTTTTAAGGATAGACCAATTCAATATAAAATCATCAATATTTTTATCTTTTAATTCCCATATGTATTTTGACAGCATGGTGTCTTTTGAATGCTTTTTATTTTTAAAGGATTGTTTATGGTTGGCAAAACGTTTTTTCCATTTACCCTCTGCTAAGCCAATATATTGTTTATCAGGTACATTCTTAGAGGAAACAACACATTTATATACTACGTTTTTTAACAAACATTTTCTGTTTTTAAAAAACGTAATTTCTGCTGTTTTTCATTTAGAATTTCTTTTTTGTTTAGCAAAGCATTATTGTGACCTTTTATAATTCTTTCCATATTTTTTGTGCAACTTTAGCTAACTTTAATTGTATTTCAATTAAAAATTTTATGTAATTTATTAGAAGGCGGGAAGTGTTTATCTACCAATTTTAAAAACACTTTTCCTATGTTAGTTGAAACATTTTTGCTATATGGGGGGTTGAACCAAAAACATTTCTAGTTTTATTTCGCTTTTTTATTTTCTTTTTTTCAGGGTCAAATCTTAGTTCAAAGTTTTGAAATTCACTTTTTTTAAGGGCACCTTCAAAAATTCGTCTAGAGGAATTGAATACATTTTCATCAGAGGAATTTTAGTTTAACCTGTTATGAATTGAAATTGGGATTTGTTTTAGAATTTGAGGTGGATGATTTGAGTTAATATTAATATATAATTCATCATTTGGTTTTTTGAAAGGCTTATATGAGTTTTCAGAGAGGTTAAGAGTGACATCAAGAAAATTCACAACTTTTAAATTTATGTTTATTTCGATTTGAAAGCCATTATTTTTGAAATTTTTTATATCTTTTCTAATTTTATCGAGCTGTGAACCAGATTTTTAATGTATTACTATTAAACCATTATCACGATAAAGGCCTAAATCAATAATATTGATTATTTTACTAAATAAATCTAAAATGTATAGTTCAACAAATTCACAAATTTCTGCTCCATCATAACTGCCCATTGTTACATCAAAGCAATCATGTATGTTTTTCTTTTTCCAAGTTTCCTTATTAAAATAAAGTAGGGTTTTTCTGCTATGTTTTATTATACGAATTGTATCTTCTGGAATAACTGTGTGGATTTTAGCAAATTCAATTGTCTTATCTAAAATATCTGCAGTTAATAACGGGTAAAAATCATTAATATCAAATTGAATAAATGTACAGTCATTTTTATTTTCGATAACGGAGAACCAATTTATAACATCAGTGGTATTTTTCCACTGTTGTAAATTCAATTTATTTCTAAGAATATTATTAATTTTGTCCAATTTTACTTTGCTTACATCTGCAATTTTGCTTTGCATTACTTGTCCAATCTCACTTTTTGAGGGAACCAATAACCGACAAGGGAGTTTTATTTATTATTGCTCTGTTCTTTTAAGAACATTGAGCACTCTATTTTGTAGAATACATTTAAGTTTATATATATATATATATATATATATATATATATATATATATATATATATATATATATATATATATATATATATATATATATATATATATATATATATATATATATATATATGTATATATATGTATGTATATATGTATAATCTTTATTTTTTTTTAATAGAAATATCAGAATGGAAGAAAGTAGTGTATTTCAAAAGAATGATGAAAGTATTCTTTTTAGCCAAGTGTTCAAATTTAAATTTAGTGATAGTGTTGGAGTAGATTGGAGAACTCTTGGGTGTTTGTTAAATATTAAAGACAACCATTTAGATATGATTAATCAAGATTACACTAAAACTAATGAAAAAGCATATTTTATGTTGTCTAAATGGATGCAAATGAATAAAAATCCAACACTTGAAGAGTTAAAAACAGCTTTAAAGAACATGGAGAGAATTGATCTCATAAGAAAATTAGACGAATTAACAAGTAATTATTTTTTAAATGTTAAATATAATGAAAAATCAGATTTTATATCAAGGTATAATTAATTTTCTTAAAAAGAATTTTTCTTTTTTTATGTATCCTTTCTATTTCTATAAAACTGGCAACTTAAACAAGTATTCAAAATTAAAATCAAAATTAATTTGTAAATATATTTTATTGCCTGATTCAAAATATCAGTTAATAAATACCAAAAACTTTTATCAGATAGAATTAATTTAAAAAAATTTATCTCCAAAATATTTATTAACAAAATAAATATTAATAATAAACTTATAAACAAAATAAACCTAAAAAAAAAAATGTTTTGTTTGTTTTTCACCTCCCTAAGGCCAAGTGGGCCACTACAGTTGAGAAGGCTATTATTTTTTTAATTACAAAATAAAGAAGTTGTTATTAAGGTAACTTGAAAGTAATTTTATTTTTACAGGTTATATAGGAAAAAACATCAGATAACTTGTGGTTGACAATAACACTTGAGTAGTTTGAATATTCTTATTTTGAATATTCTTAAGTTTTGCAAAGCATCAATATTTTGCAAACATTTTGCTGGCAAACATAAAAAAATCCTTTTTTTTTAAAAAAAGGAATCCTGAAAAAGATTGCGCCTAGATTTGATATTGGAATGATTGACAAAAAAAATTGGAATTGTCAGATAAGTTACCCTATGTCCTCAAACAACAGTCATTAAAACTCATAGTATCAAATTCAAACACGAAATGAAAAAGGTTTAAAGATTGAAGATCTAAAATCATATCTCCTTATAAGAACTGATGTTGAAACAAGAGTTTGTCTTGTGGGTGAAACATGTCAAAAACAGCATGTTTTCAGTCACCAAAGCAAGTTCTTTAAAACGGTAAAATAAGGACATGGAAAATTATTGCTATTAAAAGAAATAAAATAAAAACTGAAATGACTTTTAACTTTTAGCATGGTCATTTTTATTGGTCTTTGGTTTAGAACCTTATTAAATTTGTTTGGTGTAAAATCTTCATTTTATTCAAGAAATTTTGTGTTTGATGAATTACATAAAATAAAGCATATTACTTTTAATTGTACACACTAGAATGATTATATACAAAGTAATTTAAATGGTTGCTATGTTTGCCAAGGTTTATGATATCAATAATCATTTTTGTATTAAACTTCAAAAAAGTTTTAATTTTCTTTTTTAAATGTCATTAGTAAAAGGGATCCCCAAGTGCAAAAAACAATTTGTGTTCATATAAAAGAAAATGATAAAAATGTTTGGGCTAAATTTTTTTTGATTAAAATTAAATAATAAATGCATATCGATAAAACTAAAATTGCTGTTTTAGTCAAAGCTTGCCTTCTTCATTTTTTTTGATTCTTGGAGTCTTTGAAATATATGCCACAATCTGCAGACTAGATAATTTATTTCATGCGTGTTCTTAACCGTTTCAGTATATGACATCACTGTTTAATTACTTTTTTTTAAAGCTGTTGAAGTATTTTTTGTCCAGCAATCTAAAATTCATATTTGTTTGTATAATTTTTCACTAAATTCTAAAAAATATTCATAATGCAGTTAAAAATAAAAGAATATATATTTGGTTTTGAGATTTCAGTAGTACATCTTGTTTTTAACAAATGTACTTATAAATCTTTATCTAGATTTTATCTATATTAAAAAGTTAGCGTGCTAACACAGGTCTTAATGAAATATTATTTTTCAATGTAAGAATTATGTTATATCAAATGTATTTTGCGAAATTTGTATTAATTGTTTAACTTCTTGAAGTTTTCAAAGTGACAAAGTTGCAATAATTATGGTTGAAAGTAGAAAAAGGTTTTTAATGTTCAATAAAAACTTTTGTTTTACCTACTTTTTAATTATTATTTCCTTCTTATTATTTAAGTCAGTTGGTATACGCGCACTTGACTACAACTACCTAAATAAACTATAATTAACAACATTATAATATAATATAACTGTAAATAAACAACTATATAAGTTAAAAAACATTAAACTATTTTTAATTAAACATTCAAAATTGAATAAGTTTTCAATGGAAGTTTCAAACCTGCTACTTAGACAGCTGTGCCTCAAAATTAGAGCCTTAGATCATCCACTGCACTACACTGCACTACAAAAAAACATAGCTAATATATATATATATTATATATATATATATATATATATATATATATATATATATATATATATATATATATATATATATATATATTTACTTATACTTACCACAAAAAACAAACCTCCTCTTCTTATAATTTCTTACCCAGTTGTGTACACACTTGAATGCTCCTGCAAAAAATGCTACATCAGTGAATCAAAATTAAAAATCTCATGTCATATTTTCTAGCATCAAAAAAATACATGCAAAGGAAAATGGGATTTTGCATGGAACAATAAAAATATTCTAAAAGTAGAGTTCAACAATTTTAGCAGAAAAGAGACACTTGGAATATGATTCCATGAGTGTGCACCTTCAGACAGCAATCTGAATCAGGATGATGGAGGTTACATCACGACTTCCTTTTGGAAGCCTATGTTTTGTTATTTGAATAAAAAAAACTATTGCATTGATTTGTTATTACTTATGTTTTCTTTTTAACGGTTTTTTATATTTATATTGTATTTGATAACTAGAGTATCTATACTCCCTTGAAATATTGTAGTAGAAATCAATTTAAAAATAAAGAGTTACATCCATAGTAGATGTTTTTATTTAATTATAAAAGTTAATATATAAGTTTATATATTTTTATAAAATATTTTTCTTTATCTTTTATAAAATATCTTTTATTTTAAAAATAATCCTAATTATTGACAAAGCAAATATATTGTTTTATTTTTAATTTTATTAGTCTTGACTTTAATTGTATTTTTTTTTAATTGTAATTGTATGAATATATAATTACAATTAAATATGATTTTTTGATTGTGGGACAAAAAGTTCTTCAATATTTTGAAAAAAAAATCCACCATGACATCATATACTGAAGCTGTTACGAATTAAACGTGCTTAAAATAAATTATCTGGTCTGCAGATTGCAGCATATGTTATAAAGACTTCAGAGCCAAGAAAAAATGACTTAAAGGACAATTTTAGTTTTATTGATATGTATTTATTATTTAGTCTTAATCAAAAAATTTAGCCCAGATATTTTTTATAAACATTTTTTTAAATATGATTACAACTTGTCTTGGCTCTTGAAATGATAATCCAAGAAGACATGAAGTAACAGATTCATTGAGAGGTTTTGTCATTCATCAATATAGAAATATCAACAATATTGTGATTTGAATTTAATAACTGAGTTTTGTTGGAGTTAAAATTGACAAGCCACTGCATGTCCATGGTATTACAGAATAGAGATTCAAGTTTTGGTGCCTGACTTATGTGATCGAAAAGTGAAGACTTTTTGTCAAGACAGGAGTATAAAATTGAGTCATCAAATAGTGCTACTTTAGATATATGATTGTCAGAAAGATCATTAATGTAAACAAGAAACAATAAAGGATTAAGATTAGAATTTTGCAGTACTCCAAAGGTTTTTGGAAATAAACAAGAGTGTTGAAACTCTATCTTCAAGGATGATTTTAATGCTGTGGTTAGAAAGAAAATTTTATAATCATAAACACTCTCCCAGATACACCACATGAGCCAAGCTTATAGAGAGGAACAGCATGCCTAATTTTATCAAAAGCTTTTGGATATATCAAGAGCAGTTGCCCTTGCCTCGCCTCTTCCATCTAAAGCATTATAAGATCTTTCAGTTATAGCAGTTAGCAAGTCAATCATAAAACAAGTGTATAAAAATCTGAATTAACTGCTATTAGAGTCAAGATGAGAATTTAGTTGATTAAGAATCAAAGCCTCGCTAATAATAGTGAATGATCAGATAATAGTTGGAAGGGTCAGAGGATTCTCCAGAGTTTTGAAAATTGGAACCACAGGTGTCATTTTCCAGCAGGTAGCAAAATAAGATTCATTCAAAGCGCTTGTAAATAAGTTTAAAGAGATTTTAAGCGAGTTCTGGATTGTTGTCTGCACCACAAGCCATAGAAGAGTTGAGAAATGATTTTATCAACAGAATATACATATATTATAAACAAAGGGATTTGGATGTCTAAATGGGTTAATCTGTATAACTAAAATAGCAGAGCATGACCATTAAATTCAAGAATTGAATTAGAGGAAATGTTCTTTGCAAATAGTTCTGCCTTATCTTGTAGAGGTGATAGATCAGGCTCATGAACTAGATATGGAAGGTTTGATTTTGCTAATGATACTGTTAAAGATTCGACGTTGTTGAAGATTTGACCTTTCTTAATGACATTGTTGAAGGTTTACAAAAGATTTATTAAATTGAGATTAATTGAGCTTATTATCATACAGCACCATTACATTTTTTCTGAGATCAGAGACAAGACACAAATTGGGGAGTGAAAGAAAGTGATTAGGATTGTCAGGAAAACAAGTCACAAAGTCAACCAACTAAGATTGAGAAATACATTTTTTCTGAGATCAGAGACAAGACACAAATTGGGGAGTGAAAGAAAGTGATTAGGGTTGTCAGGAAAACAAGTCACAAAGTTAACCAACTAAGATTGAGAAATACAAAAGTTATGAGCTTTAGTTTCAGCAGGGTCCAGTAGTGTTTGAGTCAAATCATTTAGTGTAATGAGCATTAAAGTCATCAACTGCAATAATATTGGTCAAGAAATATGGTTTGGTCAATTTGGTAAAAACTTTCTAAAAGAGTGCAGTATTTAGAAGAATGACAAAAATAAAGAATAAAAAAAAAAGTGATTGAGTAAAGAAGTGTCAAGCGGAAGCGCATAATAGAATGGTCGGAGTATTTAAACCTGGTTTTAAACAAATAGATAAATAGATGAATATGCCTATGCCCAAGCTAAGAATTTGACTATTAAAGTCTTTGCAAATCAAAGGATAATAGCCATTAATACTGAGGTCCAAACAAGAAATAGCCGAATTCAAAGTAGTCTCACAAAGAGCAAGTAAGTCTGGCAAATTTTGCAAGAGGTAAGATTAGGCTCTTGGAATTTGAAAACTATAAATATTTGTAAAAGATTGAAACATTAGTGGTGATGGTTTTTTATGTTTAATGCTTTTGGGTGTATTGGTTTTAGATTTTTATTACAATTTAGGTTATAATTAAGTTGAAAAAAATTCAAATTGATAATAAATAGAGTGTGGCACCTCAAACAATGAGCTACACAGTTGCCTCAGTCCTTTCTTATTACCAAAAAATTGTAACTAAAGGCTACCTCGACAATGCACACCAAAAGCACTAACAGGGACACAACTTCAAATATAAGAAAATCTTAAACCTTTCTACAGTTTTAGATCTAAGATTCAAACTTAAATATGCCACATCGAATGAGGAAAAAGATAAGCAAGATATCCATAAAAATGCATATTTAATCCAATACATTAAACTAAACACATTTTTAAGATAGGGTTATCGTCTATTACTGATATACATCTCTTATTTTAAAAATAACGAGTGCACAACAGCAAATAACTACAAAGTAGCTAGTGATTGGGTGGAAGACTAGTGTACTAGTGTACCAGCTTGTAGACTAGTGGTAGTACACTCTTCATCATCTAGTTAATAGTACAATCAATTAATGTATATTTTGATTGAATGGTTCATATGTAATCAAATAAAAGTTACAAGAATGAAAATTAGACTTTGAAGTCTTTATTTATTCCTTGGCTACTTTAACTTCAGAGTTTCCCTTTTTGATTATGTAAATAACTTGTCTGCATCCAGGACAAACAACTGATAATGATTGACCATTTAATATCCTCGAAAGATAAACATCTAAATTTGTTTCTCTAAATATCTTATTCATGTTTTTAAAGATTTCAATTATTGGACATTTTTACCTGCTACTGAATTCACATTTATGTAAAAAAAAATGTTAATATTAAATGGCAACTTGAACTACTCTTAGGCATTTAATACATGGAAGGGGGCCTTTATTAGTTTTCAGAAATTTTTCCACCCGTGCTAAAACTTATTAGAACCTTCCCCTCCTTCTTGTTTATTGATTTTTACTTGATAATTTTTACTTGCGATGTTTTCTTATCAACAAGAAAACATCGCAAAACTAAAAATGAAAAAAAAATCAGGAAATACATATCTTTAAAACTCGTCAATTCTATAAAATTTTTTAAATCATAATTTGTTGAAAATTAGGTTTTTGTTTATTTCTCACCAAAACAGAACTTATATAAGCCTATTTATCCTGTTGAAATTATGATGAAACAGCTGTTAAAATATGTACCTTACACCGCAAGCCACTCTAGAAATAAATTGTTTTAACTGTGTTCTGTAAAAATCTCCCATCCACCCTTAAATTAAGAGTAGGGTGTTAAGTAGTTTTTTACAGTTGTTCTGTAAAAAATTCACCTCCTGCCTCCCGACCCCCTGTTTATCATAGCTGGAATAAAATTCCCACCACTTTCTTTTTATTCCACCCTCCTTGTATTAAGCACATGTACCCAATAAGTTACTATTTTTGGTGTTGATAGAATTTAATTTTTTTGTGTCAAAAAGAAAACTTTAGTTTACATAGGGGATACACATTTTAGTTTCAGATTTTTTTCAAATTTATTCTCTATTTTATATAAAAAGAATTTGGCTCGACGACCAAAACATTTTTATTTATATAAAAAGAATTTGTCTCGAGTTCCAAAACTTTTTTTCTATGGTCTGAAGTGTTCAGTAATAATAGAACAATTTAAAGCTTGTAAAATAACTATAATATAATAATTTGTTTTTATTAAAACAAAAACAATATACAAGCAAAAGATAGAAATATATCGATTTGCTCCATATCTAAATTTAATGTAAAAGTTTTTGTTTATTAGGAGTAATATATTTGATATATCATTTAGAGACTTCTAATTCACCAGAAATTACTCACAGATTTTATTCCCAAAAAGGTAGCTATAATATTTGGTTTTTACAAATTAATCAGTATTTACTTTATTCTAAAATGATGATTAGCAATAAGTTTTCATTGTGTTTTGTTTTCTTAAAATGTGAGATAAAAACTGTCAAATTTTATTTATTTTTGTGATTTTTTGTATTTTTAAAAAATGCAATAATATACATTAAGGGAAAAGATAAAGCTGTAAAGCCCAAGTAAAATAAGGAAAATATTGGGAAGAGAGAAAGGATAAAAAATTAAAAAGCTATTTTGAAGAGATGTTGAGAACAAAGACACTATAGTAAAGTGTATAACTCAGACTCCTAAGGAAAATCTTGATCCATGCGCAAGGTCTAAATGTAATAGATTATAAAATATGAAATTTAACGTGATTTGAACCATGAACTTTCAGTTTATCAGGCTGACACTCTAACCGATAGCAAGCAACGACTATCATCGTTGCTTGCTAGCCAAATATTCTATCCTACAGAGATAGATTAATATTTTAGTTATATTTGTTGCAGGTAATCTGCCATGCTTGAACTAGACTGAGCAATGAAAGCCCACAGATAAACATGAAACATTTCTATTGAAAAAATCTTTTACATAAGGGAAGATAAGTAATAAAAACAAAAACAAAGAAAAACAAACAGATGTTCATAATAAAACACAAATTTATTTAAAAAGGTTAAACACAAATCATAGTCAACAGTAGTTTTATTGTTATTATACACACAAGTAATCATATCTTCATTAGATAATAAAGTTTAACTTACTTTAAAATAAATATATATATGCATAGATATATTAATAATTAAAATAAAATAAAAATAAATATAAATTGACGGGAGGTATAAGATAAAGGAAGAACATTATTGCTTTTGCGTAATCATGATTTATGTAGCGGTGATAATAAAACTTTCCTCAGAATTGCATTTATTATTACCAGCATTTTGAAGAGGCTCAGCACCAATACATAGTTTATCTTAATAATCAGAATAATATCATCACCATTTATGCTTTACTCTGTGATTTACACCTGCTCCATACTGCAGTAAAATAAGACTTCACTAGAAACAGCCAAAACCCTAATTACACTTAAATTTGTAAAGCACATATTTTTAATGAAATATTATGGAAATTTTAAGGAAAAAACAAAACCATACAAAGTTTACGAAAAACCTAACAGTTATAGAAATTTCACCAGAAAATTTTAACAGACTTTCTGCCCAGAATGGTAACAATGTTTTACTTTTTCAAATTTCTCAGTATTTACTTTATTCTAAAATGATTATTAACAATCAATTTTCAGTGTGCATTGTTTTCTTAATCACCGTATCTGTTATTAGAATGACTTTCATTACAGTGTTGTGAGAATAATATCAAGCTTATTACTTTTTTATGTTATTTAAATAAATAAACATTTTCCTTTTTTAATGAAAATGCATTTTTATGTTAGCTTAGTTTAGTTGCTTATTTCATCATTGTTACAATTTATTAATTTTGTTCATTGTGTCAGTTGTTCATATAATTTGTTGTTCATGTAATTTCATATAATTTGTTGTTCATGTAAGTTCATATCATTTGTTGTTCATGTAAGTTCATATCATTTGTTGTTCATGTAAGTTCATATCATTGGTTGCTTTAAATAAATACTTTAATACAATGCCCACTTAATTTAATATTTTCAATTGTTCAATATTAATAAAGCAACATTTATTAACATTGCACGATTGAAAATATAACTGTAAACTTTGTTATTTGCACTGATTATGTTTTGATTCATCATTTTTCCCAATAAAAAACATAAACAATCTATTTTGAAAATATTTGAGTAAACAATCAATATTAACATTACAACACAAGATTTAAATCTTGCTTATCTATGATTTTTCATTATAATCCGTTTGGTTTACCATTACCAGAACTTTTATGATTGGATATTTAAGAGTTAAACCGATTCTATCTGTTGACCAGCTTCACACCATAAAAAAATAAACCATAAAACTAACTTTTGGAGCTTTGCCCTCATTAGGAGATAATAAATTGAGTTGCCTAATCATAATAACAGAAGACACAAGCAAACTCATGCATTGAGTCAAGAAGATCCAGCATTTATCATCGTAACATGGAACTAATGTATTATCTACACCAGCCTAATAGATGAAGTTGAGGTGCAAAGCTGGTCAACAGATAGAATCTGTATACCTGTTAAGTCTTGCCCAGGAGGACTTTTACAAAACCGTAGCTGAATGCATTTCTTGTCTGCCCAAGATTAGTAATTTTTTTGTGACACCATCTCTAGCGTTTACTCAACCAAGAGTTTCAAGGCAGTTGGAGGATCACTTGGCCTTACATGAAATCACTTTTTCAATCTCTTACTAAGGTTTATTTTTTGACTCATTTTTCTGACAACCACTTTTGGTTGTCAGAAAAATGATTGAATTTTGATTAAAAACTTCCATACCTGCCTGGATCCAAGTAGATACTTAGGTAGTGTATTTATCAGCGGCGAGATAAAAAACATCACTACACGAACAAAATCACAAAATGGAGCCCAGTCAGCTTTAGGGTTATAGTAAATAGTACAATGATAGCCTGAAGGAAATGTATGAGATAAAAGAATTATAGAGATCACTGCATGGTCAGAACCACCTATAGAACAACCATCTAAAAACTTAGACTAAGGTCACCGGCAAGACAAAAATTAAGGGAGAAAGATAAGGAACAAAACAAAATGTAGTTGAGTAAAAAGGTTTTAATTGGAAATGCATAAAATATTAGTCAGAGGATTCAACCCTGATTTCTTGACAAATTGGTGAGGTGATATATATGTACATGCCCGAGCCAAGCATGTGACAAAAATTTTCCATGAAATTGCTTCTATAGAAATACTGGGAGGTGAACATATGATTTATAGTTGTAGTCTTAAGTTATTACTGAGCTAACACTTCACAAGAGATTCAAACAGTATGCAAACTTTTTTATAGCAACATACTGGTGAATAAACATCACACTAGTGGTTCAAGCATAGCACAAACATATAAATATCAACTTATGGGTCAGTGAACAATATGCCAGAAGTTCAGAATGAAATATCTAATCCAGTTCATTAAAATCTGAATCCGTTATTAATTTTGCATAAAATTTTGCACTTCATTAAAATATTTAAAAACAGTTATTGAAAAAATAAAAATATATGAAATAAAATATTCATGCAATACACATAAAAAATCTGTGATGTAGTTATAGTAAAAGTAAAATGTTTGTTTCTCTTAGCAAAGAGAAACACTTTGATCATTTTTGAAATGCATTCAATATTTTTTAAACTTTTATTTTGTGCTTACGTATTATTACATATTAAGTATTATTTCTTAATTCATTTTGAATTAATTAAAAGTATATTTAAACAATATTGTAAAGTTGTAAAAAAAATTTTTTTAAGAAATATTTTTTACAATTTTATTCGTAGGTAAATTGTAGTGAACTAGCACTTTTTATAATTTTTATTATTTAATGATGTTAAAATAAATTAAAAAAAAGTTTTCTATTTATTAGTATATAAAGATTTTATACTATTACTAGATAAAAATTATTATACTAATATTATAAAGATTACCAATATCCATGCATATACCAAATAATCTATCTGCATATGATTTATTAAATTTAAATCTATTTCTTGAATTCTGTTTTGCAAATTGAATAGAACTAATGTATGTTTAGAAAATTAAAAATAATTTAATTTCTGTGGCAAAATATGACTGTTACAAGAGCGCAGCTGACTTGTCCTGTTTATGGCATCAAATTTGAACTTATGACTCGCAAACTTTTAACTGTTAAGTAAGTCATGCAGCACTATTCTTTTGTTAAATTAGAACATTCTAGGACTACTAAGTCCAGCACACTAGTTTCTAGAGTTTCTGAAAATGTTATGAACATTTGGTTGAAATCTGGTATTCCTACTTTTGATTGAGAATGATTCTTAAAAGAGAAAGTGAATCAAAGACTTCAACAGTATCAATTGGTAAAATAGAAAGTTTAGTTTTGTTTGACATTGCAGCATGTCATTGTCTTAATTTAAGTAATTGCATAAGCCTGAGAATATCAAAAGTCCCAGTACTCGAGCATGAATATTTAATGGCTCTAAGAAATATCTTTTAGATAAGGAAAGTAATTTTATGTTAACCAAAGCATTTGAAATAAGTACAAAGAGACAGAAATACTATGATTTTTTTTTGTCTAGCAAAAGCAGTCTGGAAGCATCAGTTAGTATCATTTCTGATATAGATGCATAAATTGATTCTGGTGAGGAGTTTATAAATGACACTCAGAGCAATGTTGATGAGGATTAGTTGTCAGATTTTTGTGAATTAGCTTGTGAATCTGGCAGAAATATGATAAAGTTTCTAACAGTTGCCATAGAATGTTACAGGTATGGTGTATCCGATGTTGCTGGAGCTGCGATTGCTACTGTCACACTTTCTGATTATGGAATTATAAAACAACTTGACAGAAAAGATCATAGACCAAACCAAGTTAAGGGGTTTGCAAATGTGATAATGTAGTTCTAAGCAAAGACATTTGCTTAGAGCTACATTATCACACAAAGCTATGTGTTCAGTAGGCCCAAAATCAATTTTCTTTGATGGGAGAAAAGATCAATCTCTTTGTGCATTAGTGACTAGCAGTAAAGACATAATTACTAAGGAACATATCACATTCATAGAAGAACCATATTCCATTTTTCTTCTTCATATTTCTCCATCAAGGGCATCATCAACAAATATCAAGGATGCTATTATAGATTTTTTTGATGAAAACAAAATATCACTTGATAATGTTTTAGCTATTGGGGCTGATGGAGCTAATGTAAATTCTGGTGTGAACAATGGTTTAATAAGATCACTGGAACTGCATTTGGGATATCCGGTTCAATAATTAGTGTGTATGTTTCATTTTAATAAAATTAAAATTTAAAAAAAGTTTAATCAAGTAAAGAGAACCACTAAA